GGGGGGGGGGGCTACCTCCTGCCATGCATTGGTCTCAAGATTGTATTTTTGAACAGTGTTAACCTCCCCTCCATAATGATTTTTCCCACCGATAACAAACAAGAAACCCTGGAACGTGACCACTGCAAATCCTTGGAGGGCATTTTCAGGAAACTGCACAGTATCCCATTTATTAATTTTTGGGTTGTAACGCATAGACTAGTCTCCCTTGCAGCCCTTTCCGGCGTTGTCACGCAAGCGAAAACTCCCCCACGCTGATTGAGCAGCCGTTGGTGGGGGAGTTTTCGCTTGCGTGACGACGCCGGAAAGGGCTGCAAGGGAGACTATGCACGGACAAGTTCCTCTCCTTCCCCCGTGAGTAATGCTGTGTGTTGCTGTCTACCATGACATACAATTTACCATAACACGCACTTGCACAGTGATAAGAAATTTCACCACATAGTTCCTCGTGTAACCTAAATTCACGCCATTCGTCGCGTGTAGGAAGGTAGCCCAATGATCGGATATTATCAGATGTCCGAGTGTCCCGCCTAAATGCCTTAAATATGACACATTCGTGCTTTTTTAGACAACTTCTGGGTGACAAGTAAAAAAAGCATTCTTCTGTTCCACTAAAAGCCCTCTTCATAGCATCTAATACTAAAAGCAAGCACTTGGAATCTTCCTTCACCAAGGGGTAATGTAAAATGACTTGGAAAAGATAGTTAGGAGGTACATAAACACATCGAACGTGACGCAGAAAGTCATAAAAATTGTGTTCTCTTTCCTCCCACCTGCTTCAAACCATCTAAGAATTATTTCAAAGACCTGCTCTTCGCCATCTACGATTGTTCCATCACTGGAAATCCACTCTTCCACTTGATCAACACTCAAATTAAAAAACCCTTCTGACTTTGTGACCGCTTCAAAGTGAGCATGAATGAGGTCCTTAGTTCCTTTTTTCAATGTTTCACACGGGTACTTTAAAGCTGAATAATATGCAAAAATGCAGTTCGAAACATTCAGTTTTTCCAAAATAAAAGTAGCTGTGTTACACTATGTAATTATCACCTTCGCACTTGCACAGCACGCACAACTATGCAATTCAAATAAGCACGAGCACCGCATTCTGTATAAATTATAGTGATCTTGTAATGAATAAGGAAGTTGTAAATTTCGACATGGATCTGAGCAAACAACAGCTGTAAAATCTTTCAAGCTTGAGATAAAAAAATAATCTCCCGCTGCCAAGAGCTCATAACTGTTGTTTTCATTGACATCGACTTGTCCTGTGTAAACATACTCCAGTACTTCATACTTTCGCTAGTCTGTTTCAGTTTGATCACACCCTCTTTATTTTCTTTCATGTCATTGTTCAAAGTGTTGTAAAAGAACGGACTAGCTGCACACAACACGATTTTGTGACACTTCAAACGTGCTTGATCATCACCCTAACCAACTTCTAGAATCACATCACAAAAGTGTTCGTTTCTTCGCAGGAGATCGAGGTTTTTCATCATTTCCTCACAAAAATCGTGCTTTTCGGACACTGTGACTGGTTCTGCGAGGGAATTCATCTTGGCACAACGCAAAAGTACTAAAAATTGGCCATCGTTACGGTCGCCAATTTACCACTTCAACTTTGTTGATATATCCAAATTATTTCGTTACTCCCACCGACGCAGCCCCAAACAGTTTCTTTCGAAACTATCAGCCTTTATTCATTTGTACTAAAAAGTGGGTTGGTAGTGTGGATAAGAAATTGGAAATAACCGCTGGCCCTCAAAGAAGAAGAAGAAGCATAGATAGAGATTGCATTGCATTCAGGCAGGAACGATGCGAAATGAAAACAATTGCAGTCCTTCACGGTCGGTACGTCAACGCGGCACGTACAGCGGGCGCGCCAAATTGACACAGA